TTTCTTTCTTTCTTTCTTTCTTTCTTTCTTTCTTTCTTTCTTCTTTCTTTCTTTTTCTTTTTTTTTTAGAGGTTTTTGCTGTAAGGAGCATGCGCTCGCCAGACAGACAGAGAGAGACAGAGAGACAGAAAGTGAGAAATCACCCCCCAGGGGGGATAGCCATGCCACAATCCCTTCTCCTCCATTCTCCTCTCAGGATCTTGGGCACGCATGCACACTCGCCTGGCATGAGTTTCAAGCCACCATGTCTGGGACTCGAACTGCGGTCGACTACATGGGAGTCCAGCGACATAACCATTATGCTAACTGCTGGTCCCTTTATCCTTTTATTTCTTGAAGGGCGCTCAGGTTAATTCCAGATCTCGGCCATTATGAACAGTGCTGCGATAAACACTGGAGTGCAGATACTTTTGTGATTTACTTGTTTCCTTCCCTTTGGATATATGCTTAGTAGTGGGATTGCTGGATCACATGACAGTTCTATTTTTAGATTTTGAGGAGCCCGCGTATTGTTTTCCATAGTAGCTGTACTAATGCACATTTCTGCCAGTACTGCTTCCACAAGGGACAGGGGCTTGTCTGCTCAAGCTTCTTCATGTGCTGTGCCTTCTTGTGAGAGTGAAGGGCTGTGTCTGACAGAGTCTGGAGGACTCCTGCAGCAGGTAGGGACCTGCGTACTCAAGCTGCAGTGCATACCACGCCCAGCATCTGTCAATAGCAGAGGCTGACAGAACCTGGTGGGCTCCTACAGGGGCAGGGACAAGGCAGGGGCATCTGTCATCAGCAGAAACCTATAGAGCCTAGAGGGTTCCTGCAGTGGAAAGGGGCCATGCACTCCATGGTATAAGCTGGGTCCAGGGCAAGCCAGAGGCTTTGGTGGCAGGAGCTATGGGCTCAAGCTGTGAGCCAGGCTCACCTGAGAGGCTTTTTTTTTTTTTTTTTTTTTTTCCTTTTCCTTAGAGCATGCCCTCCCACTTGGGAGGCTTGGTGTTGGGCTCACATCCCTGGTGCTCAGTCTAGTTGGAGTGATAGTTGTAGCCACTCACAGGCATTTGGTGAGATTTTGGCGGCTTCTCAGGGATATGAAGACGTGTAGGCCATCAGTTCTTGGTGCAGGTTTCACTCCAGCAGCAGTTGCTTTGTTTCCAAAATGGCTCAGCTATCTAGCAGTTTGGGTCCTAGATGGTGGGTGAGATCCTCCCCTGGAGGGATGCAGCCCCGTGGCTCTCAGGGACTTCCCTACCCTGGTCCTGGTCCCAGGCAAGCACCAGGTCCCCAGGTAGTTAGAAGTGCCATTTCTAGGGTGGTATCAGGGACTCTCACACACCTTTTCCTAGCAAAAGGGAGTTTCTCTTAACTCCAGCCTATAAATCTTGGCCAGCTGAGTACTCCATTTCCCTTTCTATGCTATTCCTCCTAGGTTTTCTTTTCTTTCTTTCTTTCTTTTTTTTGAGAGATTTTTGCTATAGGGCGCGTGCACTCGGAAAGACAGACAGAAAGCGAGAAATCACCCTCTGGTGGGGATGGCCACACCGCAATTCCTTCTCCTCCATTCTCCTCTCAAGATCTTGGGCACGCACGCACACATACCCAGTGTGAATTTAAGCTACCGAGTCTGGGACTCAAACTGCGGTCGACTACATGGGAATCCAGTGACATAGCTATTATACCAATTGCTGGTCCCCCTCCTGGGTTTTCATCTTTCACAAAACTTCAATCTCTCCTTGGTGGTCTCATATATTTTTTCTTTAGATAGTCCACTTGAGATGTGTCCACCTAATTGTTGTTTTATTCCTTCAATGGGGAAACACTCACTGGGTACTCCATGTTGATCCCCCTCCAACAACCTGATTTGTTTGTTTTTAGCACTTCTTGCTCTCTGACATGACAAGATGTTCCAGGATTCTTCTGTCTATTTCCTGCACTAAGTCCCTAAATCAGTCATTTCTCCAAGGGGCCTTCATTCCTAGCTAGTCAGGAATATATAAAAAGATTTATTTGAAGGAATTAGCTCACATGACTACAGTGTCTGTTAAATACAAAATCTGCAGAGCCGATGTGCCAAGTTGGCTATGAAGACTGAAAGCTTCTGTAGGAACAGAAATAGTTAATGTTCCATTTTGAAGACCCTGAGGTAAGGGAATGCTCTCTTACTTAGGGGAGGGTCAGCCTTTTGCTCTATTTAGACCTGCTACTATCGAATGAGTCCTACTCACATGATCATATTAGGGAGGGCAATCTGCAATACTCAGTCTGCTGATAAAAATGCTAATCTCATCTGAAAATGTCCTCCCAGAAACACTCAGGATACTGTTTAAACAATTATCTGGGCATCCTGACATCCAATTAACCATCATACTAATATTTAGTAATAGTATTAGAAACCAAAATCTTGGTACTAAGTATATTCGTTACCACCGTTTCTGGGCCCTGTTAGGTGATAGAACCAGAAAGTTATGTTTATATATGGGCCCTGTACATAAACATATTTCTATGTAATATTATTAATAGATGTAGCCATCTGTATCTGTAAGAAGCTAAACATAAGTTTATGCTGATGTCTCTGATTCTAATTCATTGTCATATGGATGGTTTTGGCCTTTCCCTTGCTTATCTGCAACCCTACACAACAATGGTGAAAAACCAGGCATCAACTATTTGCCATCCATTTACTTAATTGTTCTAGTCCACAATATATGCTATGCTGGTTAATTTTATGAATCAATTTGAAGGGAATATTGCCCAGATATTTGGCAAAACACTGTTCTGGGTGTGTCTGTGGGTGTATTTCTGAATGAGATTAACATTTGAATTGGTGGACTGAGTAGAGCAAACTGCCCTCACTAAACTGAGTAGACCTCATCAAAATAGTTAAGGCTTAATAGAACAAAGAATGAGTAAGAGAGAATTCCTTTTGCCTTACTCTTTTGAGCTAGGACATTTTTCCAGCTTTTGGACTCAACTTAAAACATCGACTGTCTTGGATCTCCAGCTTTCTGGCTGCAGATCTTGGGACTCATCAGACTCCATAATTACATCAGCCAATTCTTTTTAAGGAATCTTTCTATATAGACAGACAGATAGATAGGTAGATAGAGATTAACTACAGAGTGATATGTAAATAAATAGAGATAGACCTCTCTAGCCTACTGGCTCTATTTCCCTGAATAACACCAATACACAAATACATTGGTTTCAGAATTGTTCATCCTTGGCCCCATGGGAAACAACCTTATCAGTTAGAGTACTGGATTCTTAAACTACTGTGTCCACGTCTCAAATTGCGCAATTGGCCATGTGAGATCCAGCCACTTTAACCAGCGCACCATGCACTGACCCCAAATTGTCTTGATTTTTAATTCCAAATTTTAGTCATTATAACTAATCTATGAAGAAGTATTTACTTTTATATGGCAACCTTGTACCTTTCAACTTTGCTATTTTATCAGTTTCAGAGAAATTTTGATGTTCTTTGGTATTTTCTAGAGAGACTGTAATGTTATATGAGAATAAAGACAATTTCATTTCTTCATTTCTAGTCCATATAACTTTTATTGCTTTTTCACATTTTATTATTAAAACTTCGAATACAATGAAAATAGCAGTAGAGAGAGAAGACATTCTTGCCTTGCTCTTAATCTTGGGTAATCTTAATCCAGTTTCTTACTCTGTGGTACGATGTTACCTATAGGATTACATTTAGATATTTTTTAACCAAGTTGAGGAAGTTGTCTATTTCTTCTTTGCTGAAAAGTCCTTTATATGGATACTTGTATTTAATGTCTTCAAATGTTAAACTAGTCTTGCATATGAGGAAAAAAAATCCTCCTTTGTTGTAGTGTATAATTTTTTTATATACTTGGAAAGATTCAATTTATAATATTTTGTTGAACATTTTGTGTCTATGCTTATAATAGGTATTGATCTGTAGTTTTTCTTCTTGAATATCTTTATCTATTGACCTCCATAGAATGAGTTAGAAAATGCTTCCACTGTCTTTATTTTGTAGAAGAGATTGTAGAGTATCATTGCATTTTTAAATGTTGATATATATATATATGTGTGTGTATATATATATATACACACACACATATATATATGTATATGTGTGTGTATGTATGCATATATGTGTATGTGTGTATATATATATATATATAAACAAATTTACTACAGGGCAAGACAGTCAGTGAGGGAGAGAGAGTAGGAAAGTGAGAAATGACTAGAGAGGATGGGCATGTCATGATCCCATCTCCTCCATTCTCCTCTTGGAATTTTGGGCACGGGCCCACACATGTCCAGTATGTTTTTCAAGCTGCCAAGTCCAGGAATCAAACCGCACAGTCAGTCATGTGGGATCCAACTGCCTTAGCCACCAAGCCACTAGCTGGCCCAATGTTGATATAAGTAACCAATAAAAATAGCTTCATCTTGTACTTTCTTTTTGGAAGATTATAAATCATTGACTTAATTACTTTAATATATACATGGCTATTCTGATGATCACTTTCTCTCTGTGTAAGTTTTGGTAGTTTGTGCCTTTCAAGAATTTGCTGCATTTCACCTAAATATAAAATTTATTGACATAGTTGTTTATAATACTGCTTTATTATGCTTTAAATGTCCATGCACCATAATATTTTAATTTTATTTATATATGTATAAACACACATATACTTTTTTTTAACCTACCTTTTGCATATTGCTATATTTAAGATCATTTTCCTTGTGAGTTACTTTATTTTCGATTATTCCTAATGGGCACATAATAGTTTGTGTACTCAGTGTGTCAGTTTAGTTATTATATAACTATTGTTAGGGAGGTTCTGGACAAAAACAGAGAAGGTACCAACATGAGAGGCTGCCCATGCTGCTGAGGGAATGGTTAAAGGTAACACAGAAGGATACTGATACGACGAGATCCAGAAATACTCTCTATGCATTTTTCAATCCAAGAAAACTGTCTCTAGGGATATGAGAGCCAAAATGACATATGGAGAAAGGGGGAATGATATGGCCTAGGACAGCACACATTGACTGATCAACCCACCATATCATGAGTTCTCCTGTATACCTTTCTAGATGTCAAACCACAAGCCTTCACATTTCAAAAACTAAGCATCTGAATTCTGTATCAGGTTCTTTAGCTCTTTAAATTTATTAACTCTAATGACTAAATTTTCCCAGTAATGAAGATAGATGTGACACATATTCATGCACACACACCTTCCCACACTTGTACTATTTCCTCATGATACATTTCTAGAAGTATAATTCCAGCTCAAAAGAATGCAGATACTAATTCCTGTGGATACACATTGTCAGGCAAATTTATTGGTCATGGGGCAGTTCTAAGCATAAATTCAAAGTTTTATTATCTTGTCAAATGACTAATTCTTTTCTCTAATTAGCAAGAAATATGTTTTCTAACTGAGCATTTAGGGTGAGTACTGGTGTGTGTGTGGGCGGTCTTAGAAACGAATTCAGAAAGACTAAGCCAACGTTCCTGGTATGGACAGTTAAAGTAGAGTAGACAGTAATGGGTGCAATAATGGTGGACCAGACACTCCCACTCTACTTGTCAACAGTATAAGGGATTTAATCAGAGAAGGAACCTTGAATGTCAGGATGCCATAGTGCTGTTTGATGAATGTCTCTATTGGAGTAGAGTGAAGCAAACGGAGATTTGGAGTCTACATTTAAAATAAATGGTATTTTTCCATAGAAAAGCTTAAGAAAGACTAGCGTCATGCATTATTTTGTAAATCTGCTTTATTTAGCAATTACAGGAGAGAAAAGGACAGAGAATGAGATATATAGTGTTTGTACACACATATACTGTCATGGTGCTCTCAGGGCTCACAACATTTGTAAGACAGAGACTATCAGGGCCAATGGGCATTAAAGGAAAGTTCCCTTGGTTTGTTGTAGGACCCAGGCAGTGTTTTCTGCAATGAAAAGGACCAAAGGTAATTTTCTACCACTGCTCAGACTCAAAGATAGAATTTTTGGGGAAAGAGAAGAGCTTAGTATCAGAGTGAGGCACCAGTTGTGATTAAACTGTGATGTCAAACAGAGATCAGCCTTCTGATGGTGAGCATGGAGGTCAGATGGAGCAGGCAGAGACAAAGAGGAACTGTGAGGGCACTCAGCACCCTCCACCACATCTCAGAGAGCAGGACAGAGCAAGGCCAGGACAGGACAAGCAACCTGAGAAGGGACTCTGAAGCTATAGAGGAACCACAGGACAGTGGGGACCATGAGCTGGTGGCAGCACTTAGTGCTTGTAGCTCTTCCTGCTAGAGGAGGAGGAGGTGGTGGTGGTGTACTTGATGGAGGAACTGCCACCCCCAATGGAGCTGAGGCCACCTCCCAGGCCTCTGCCGCTGCCGGAACTGAAGCCTCCTCCCAGGCTGTGCCCACTGCTGTAGGAGTAGCCGCTGGATTCAC